TAAAAACAAAAAGTTTTGTAGGTAATGAATAGTAAAAAGTAAAAACATGTGAAAATTCTATTCAATTAAGTATTTTATCTATCTATTTATCTATCTATTTATCTATCTATTTATCTATCTATTTATCTATCTATCTATCTATCTATCTATTTATCTATCTATCTATCTTGAAATCAATGATAAAATCCAATCTTGTGTTTTGCTCCATGTTGTTAATTAATAATTTGTTGTTTTCTTTACACTACACTTTACACTATCTATCTATCTATCTATCTATCAATCTATCTATCTATCTATCTATCTATCTATCTATCTATCTATCTATTTATCTATCTATCTATCTTGAAATCAATGATAAAATCCAATCTTGTGTTTTGCTTCATGTTGATAATTAATAACTTATTTTGTTTTTTACACTTTATCTATCTATCTATCTATCTATCTTTCTATCTATCTATCTATCTATCTATCCACAAGCTTTCTCTCAGTTTATCTATCTTTCTATCAATCTATATATTTAGGGTGTAATAAATCTGTTTCTAATTTGGCATGTTTGATATATAATTCTCATATTTGTGATTGAAAAACAGTCTCAAAATCATAGACATAGGATCAATCACAGGTTAGGGTTCATACAGGGGATTTATCTATCTATTTATCTATCTATTTATCGATCTATTTATCTATCTATTTATCTATCTATTTATCTATATATTTATCGCTCCGTCGACCTTTTGACCTATCTATCTATCTATCTTTATTTACCTTTATCTGTGTCTGCACACTAGAAACAAGGAGGTTCATAAATTGGGGGAATTGGAAGACGACTGTTAGACTCAATCCTTGTGTCTCATTAGTCCAATAAAAATCCAAAACAGAGCAACAACCTCAAATGTACTGAATCAAAAGATTATGTAGAAAGAGTACTTCAACGTACTTTAACGTACTTATAAGTACTTTCACGTACTTTTACGTACTTTTACACTTCACGTACTTTTACATACTTTTACGTACTGTAACGTACTTTTACACACTTTAACGTACTTTAACGTACTTTTCCGTACTTTACCGTACTTTAACATATTTTAACGTACTTATAAGTACTTTTCCGTACTTTACCGTACTTTAACATACTTTAAAGTACATTAACGTACTTTTACATCCTTCAACGTACTTTAAACTTTTTTGTTGATCAATATTATTCAATTGAATGAAGAATTCTTTAAGATTGATTTGATAAGGTGTAAAACTTCCACACTTATTCAATTTAATTGCACTTAATGTATTTTTAAAAGGTGATGATTTGTCGTAACATGACTGGGAAATTCCCTTAGTATCGCGCGGAAGTTAAAATTATTACAAAAATAATTAATTTTTCCAATTTAAAAAGAGCCATTGAATTTAAAATTTCTGACCTTGAAAATATTGTAAATAATTATTAGATAAAACTGTTTTGTATTAAAATGTTTGTATCATTATTAAAACAGTGGTGTATACAGGGGGAGGCTGTAATATTAAATACTTAGTGTTTTTCTGCGGCATATTCCGTTCAAAACTGTGGTTGAGTCCCTCCCCCCCCCCCTTTTCAATTCCAGTACACTCCCCCTTAGAACAACATATTAAATCCTCTTATAAGATTTAAATCACAGAAAACTAATTATTATCTTTTATCTTCTTATGTTTACACCATATTGTTGTAAACACTTAATATTGATAAACAAATCATTAATACATTTATTTTCATTTTGTTCCTTTCTAAAAATTAATAGCACGATAGTTTATAGGGCGGCGCACTTAAAGGCACTGTATACGAAATTTCAACTGACCTTCCGTTTATGGAGGAACATCCCCGATTTACAACGATACCCTTCAAACCTTTAACTGACCATCGGGGACAGAGATATCAGTGTATATATCTCTTAAATGCTGTACAAAAAGTCGTAAAATTGGAGTGTACGGTTGCGTACTGTGCGACCTTAACATAAATGACGTCACATTAATTCCTAGAAAATCTAGAATATGTGCTAGTATTTTTAAATTACTAGCAGAAGGTGACACATTTAACATAAGAGTTCAGTGACGAGTTAAGCCTAATGGTCGTGCTATCATCCTATATTGCAGGGTTATACACAAAGAATGAGACTTCAGAGATGACTGTACGGAATTTGTTTAAGTTCTGTGTCAATAACCATTAAGATTCTAAATTTCAGGCAAAACCCAAAAATCAAGCTTCAAATCATCAGTTTCATAGTTTTGGGTCGTCTTTACAATCTCATAATTTGTGGTTAACATTGTACTTTGGTAAAGAGGATTAAGAGGATTTGTTTGATTTAATCTAAGAGTCTCTCGGAAAAGTGAAATTGATAATTAAAACCGCTTAATTTTCTTTCGAGCATTTAGAAGTCCAAAAGCCTTTTGTGTACATTGTTCTAGTCGATTGAAAGGGATTATTAAAATCCAAACCCCCCCCCCCCTCTCCCCAAAGGGGAATGTCCACATTTCCATACAAAGGGTGGGTGGGGTTCTGACTTCGTTTTTAGAGATTTCTCTCTGATTTTTTGCATGCAGGCCTGAATTGTGATCTAGTTTTTTAATCAAACACGTAAGTGGGGAAAAATAATTTTCCCCCTCATTATTCCCGCATTTTTCGGGCATTTTTTTAAAAACTTTGTGATGGGTCCATGTGGGGTGTCTTAAGTCATGAACGTTAGGTCAGGAAACTCAATTCTGGATTTTATAATGCATTTCTCATTATCACATTATAAAAAATAAATTAAAAACATCAATATTTATTTTTAATTCAAATCTAGATCACAATTTTCAGTTCTGCATGAAAAAATCAGAGAAATCTCTAGTAATAGTCTAGAATTGAGTTTCCCGACCCAATGTTGATGACTTTAGACAGGGGAAAAATCAGTGGAAAAGTTATTTTTTTCCCCACTTTGGTTTTGGATTAAAATTCAAAAACTAGATCACAATTCAGATCTGCATGCAAAAATCAGAGAGAAATCTCTAGTGATAAAGTCGGAAGACTTCTATGGTCTTTAGGAGGGAAAAAAGCGGTAAAAGGGGGGAAATGGAGAGAAGGAAATGCAATATAGAGTCAGAATTGAGTTTACTGTCCCAAAGTTACTGAGTTTAGACACCACACTTGGACCTATCACAAAGTTTTTGAAAAATGTCCAAAAAATGCGGGAAAAATATAGAAAAAATTATCTTATCCTACATTTTGTTGTTTGATTCAAAAACTAGATCACAATTCAAGTCTGCATGCAAAAAATCAGAGAGAAATTTCTAGTTACAAAGTCAGAAGGCTTCTTTGGCCTTAAGGAGGGAGAAAATGCGGGAATAGGGAAGGAAATGGTATAAGGAGAGGGGGAAATGCAATATAGGGTCCAGAATTGAGTTTCCCGACCCAAAGTTAGTGAGTTTAGACACCCCACATGGACCTAACGCAAAGTTTTTGAAAAAAAGGACCGGAAAATGCGGGAAAAATCAGGGAAAAAAATTATTTTTCCCCAATTTTGGTTTTTGATTCAAAAACTAGATCACAAATCAGGTCTGCATGCAAAAAATGCAGAGGAATCTCTAGTAATAAAGTCAGAAGGCTTCTTTGGCCTTTAAGAGGGGGAAAATGGGGGAAAGGTATAAGGAGAGCGGGAAATGCATTATAAAATCCAGAATTGAGTTTCCCGACCTAATATTAATGACTTAAGACACCTCACATGGACCTATCACAAAGTTTTAGAAAAAATGCCTGAAAAATGCGGGAAAAATGACATGAAAATTATTTTTCCCCACTTTGGTGTTTGATTCAAAAACTAGATCACAATTTAGGCCTGCATGCAAAAAATCAGAGAGAAATCTCTAAAAACGAAGTCAGAACCCCCCCCACCCTTTGTATGGAAATGTGGACATTCCCCTTTGTTATAGTTTTAGGATAAATTTATCTCCACCAGAAATGGAGGTTTTAATGGAAAGATATTAAAATATTGATAATAGGAAGGATCATAGTCAAGAACGTGTTCAAAAAAGAAAGCTTTGTTATTATTTTAGCTATAAAGAAATCCCCCCCCCCCTAACATCTTGTGTGGTATGTATATCTATAGGTCTCTATTATCAAGCATCATGACTTGATAAAAAAAAGGTAAGAAAAAGATAATTGGAGAAAGTTCATCTATTGTTGTATGCTTGTGTATACAATGAGATATATTCAAAGGTAGCAGAATAGGGGGCAACTAGGTGTTTAAGGGGCGGGGGAAACGAAGGTGTCCCAAAAACATGTGAAATATCCAGGGAATAGAAATATAGGGAAAGGAAATGGCGCTCGTCTGGCAGACCAGTACTTTAAACTAACACACTCTTTTGGTACAGACACACACATAAGGTTTCCGCCCCCTGGAAATATCCGAAGACTTATATATTGTCTTTGTTTAACGCGGCAATAGTTCGTGAACAAATCAAATTCTCAATATCACATGTCAACCTTTGAGGCAGAGTAACCCAGAAAGGATGAGATTGTAAAGACGACCTGAAATTTATATATTACTTGGGAACCCAGCGTATCCCAGGGTACTTATACGTTACTCCCATATTTTACCCGCATCAGATCGATTTTACCGGGAGACTAAATTTTCGCTGTAAAAGTCGACCCACTCAAGTTAAATCTTAAAACCAAGCTAAGTACAATCCCGTGATTTTCCCGAGTTCCTCCAATAAAAATTTGAGGCAAATCGGTCCAAGGGTTCTAGAGTTATGATAGGACAAACATTCAAACAGAGATTACAACTTTATATAGACAACAATCCCTTAGTTGAATTGAAGTTGTTTGCCTTCAGATAATAAAAAAAAATATAAGACGCATAGTATAAATCCTTTACAATCGAATCGTTAAGTGTCATCCTTTGTGGGTAACCCTGTAGACCTCGTAGACCCTAGGTACGAAAAAAATAGCTTCTGATAAAATAATCACTGTAAATCATGTAATAACTCGTAAAAAGTATAATAAAACATTTTATTGTTAAAAATAATATTTCATAAAAAATATTTGAAAGCTGTTCAATATTCATATCAACTTATTAAAATTACATAGTAAAAAAATTTACATTATTACAACAACCTTTTAACAGCAAGTTTTTAAAATGCTTCTTGAAATTCTTCTTAACAAGGATAGGGTTGAGCTATTTTCATTATATACTTAGATATTTAACTGTAGATATGAGTTAATATTATATATTATTTAAAATTGAGATTTAAGCTCATTTTGAAGTTTTTAAAACTCATCAAATCTGTATTAGTACATATACAACATAAGAAAGTACATATCCAACATGAAATAGTACACATTCAACATGGGAAAGTACACATACAGCATGGGAGAGTACACATATGAGCTAGTACACATCCAACATGGAATAATAGTACATATACATGGAATAGTACACATCCAACATGGGATAGTACATTACAACATGGAATAGTACATATACATTATACAACATGGCATATTACACATCCAACACGGGATAGCGTAGATTAAGATTACTCTACAAGATCTTCGATCTCTACCAGAAGATCCTCTGCGTCGATCTTGTCGCCTACTGCCACATGGATAGCTCGGACCTAAAATAAAAATAATAAATAAAATTAGGAATAAAATTATCAAAATGTTTTAATCAAACACGTAAGTGGGGAAAAATAATTNGGGTTAAAGAATGCATTACAATAACTAGGGGACTAGGAGTAAAAAGTCTACAAAATAATTTGCGTAATTTTGATGCTGGTTACGCATGTAATTTACAAGCCCTCATCAAAAAAATCATCGCTCCCTTTCCCATCAAACAAAAGAAAACCTAATCTAATTAAATTAAATCAAATAAAATCACAAATTGTAGGGATGGCCTAAGACTTCAGTAGTGGATCGGAGTTTCAAATCCTCTCCAGGTCCTAGGTTTTCAGTCCGGACTTCTTTTAGAAAGTAAAATGCCGAAAATTAATTAAAACTGATATTTAAAAATTGATCATAGGAGACACATTTTTTAAAATAGAACAGACAGCGAGATAATTGGAATAAATAGACGACGACTTTTCAACAATAGAATATGTATTTAATGTTATTAAAATGCACTTAATTGCACCAGTAGCTTGACCCAAATAGATTATCAAGTACAATAGGTGGCATCAGAGAAATGGACCAGTTATACACGACGTCACAATTTGTCCAATATAATAAGGAAAACGAAATTTTCTCACATTGGTTGACTGTTTTCCAAGATCAAATGAAAAGTGTAAAAACTAAAATAAAGAACACAATAAATTGCACTTATTTAATTGTAAGATAGGCACTTTATTCTAAAATTATCACTATTGTTAATAATTTTGTCGGACACAAAACTGAATTGACACTTATGACGTCAGAATCCAGCTGTACTGAGAGTGTAGAAATTATACGTTGCCATCTATTGTACTACAGGGTGTCCCAATACACATGGGAATTCAGTGACGATTTTGAAGTCGTCTTTATAAATGTTTTTTCGATTTAGTCTGGTGATATCTAATAGGAAAGCTATAATACGTCTGCTAGAGTTCAGAATTTGTTTGTTTACGTTTTCATTGCATACTGTGTTGTACAATTACAGAAATTAGTTTATTAAAAACACAGTACAGTTGCTTCGCTTCACTGTTTATCTTGCAAAAATGTTACAGAACATCGTACAACGTTTTGCAGAATAACAAAACAGTCTTTTACCGTTTATATAAAATATACTCCAGCAGACGTAACTTTATTTTGACAATTTTAATTAGCTAACAAACGTTAATTCTTTACAAAGACGATTTCGAATTCGTCTCTGAATTCCTATGTTTATTGTGACACCCTGTATCAAGACACCCTGTTTCCATAGCATAGTTGGTGTGTTTAATTATGGCCTTCAAAACTTCAACTTGCAAAGTCGTCTTCCTTGTCGAGTTTTATACAGTTTAACACAGAACTTCGGAGGCAACAAACAAATTTATAAAATGTCGTCTTGACAATTTCTCAATTTGTTTTATACAATCATGCCTAAATCTCAGTAGTTGTTAAAATAAATAAATAGCCATGATATATGCGGGAACAGTTTTAAAGATCTCTATGTACTAACTCAATAAAAAAAAATATCTGCAGCATTTTATCATCAGTTGGTAAAGAAAACGACATTTTATAAATTATTTCTGTTCTGGGTTAAATTGCTAAGTGTAGAGTGTAGAATGAAGAGTAGAGTTCATATTAATAAAAGTTTACCTTGCCCGCAACCTGAGTCTGAACAGCCATCTCCATCTTCATGGCAGAGAGTACTGCAACCACCTGTCCTGGCTTCACTATATCTCCTGGTTGCACTTTTAGGATTACAACGTCACCCATCATAGGAGCTGCAACCTAAACGATCAATTGTTGAGGAGATCTCTTAATTTGAACATAAAGTAATTTTTTCATTCATTACAACTATTACAGATAATACTGTAACACGTCTTAAAAACTGAAATTCTTGCCACAAACTCGGATTTTTAATCCCCATATCTTTGCAGCCCGATGTTGTTTAAACTATGAATCTGTAATATATAAAAGTTAAATAGATAAAAGTTTTTAATCAAAGATTTACACCATCAGATTGCAAAGATATGGGCATTAAAATACACGAGTTTGTTGTGAGAACTCAGTTAAAGTTTTCTGGCAAACAATATAAGTGAAAGCTGATTTCCTAATAAATTTTTGATTTCTGAATTAATATTGGTGTTGATAAGTATAGCTGGACACTAGTATATAAATATAAGCCTTGCTGTCTGATTACAACCTTGACCCTCATTAGAACGAATATCCTTCCATAGCAAATGCTGCCAATGAACGATGAAGATGATATATGTCGTCTTCTTTGAAGTTTAAGTGTTGCAAAATAACATAAATTTTCTTAATTCTTTGGATCCTTTTCAGATGAAGTCGTTGTAATTTATACAAATTGGATTCAGAAAAAAGTTGTAAAAACCAGACCGTAAAAACACAAAAATATGGGGAGTCGAGAGGGAGCTATTCGACACTTATTGAGTTCTTGGTTGGTCTTGTAAATTAAAAGACAAGATTGAAATTTTGCGTGCACCCTCCGATTATCGTCTTCTGCAAAGATCTCGAGGTTGACCTCTAAAAGTGTCGAATACCGCCCTTAATAAAAAAATGAAAAAATGACTTACGTGAGTTTTGTTTGAAAGATCTGCTCTTAGTCTTCTAGTCTGAGTGCTAGAAGCCAACTCATCCCTGAACAGTTAACATTTATACTGTAGCTGTCAACTGTAACTGTCAACTGTAACTGTCAACTGTAACTGTCAACTGTAACTGTCAACTGTAACTGTCAACTGTAACTGTCAACTGTAACTGTCAACTGTAACTGTCAACTGTAACTGTCAACTGTAACTGTCAACTGTAACTGTCAACTGTAACTGTCAACTGTAACTGTCAACTGTAACTGTCAACTGTAACTGTCAACTGTAACTGTCAACTGTAACTGTCAACTGTAACTGTCAACTGTAACTGTCAACTGTAACTGTCAACTGTANACTGCTACTGTCAACTGCTACTGTCAACTGCTACTGTCAACTGCTACTGTCAACTGCTACTGTCAACTGCTACTGTCAACTGCTACTGTCAACTGTTACTGTCAACTGTTACTGTCAACTGTTACTGTCAACTGTTACTGTCAACTGTAATTGTCAACTGTAACTGTCAACTGTAACTGTCAACTGTAACGGTCAACTGTAACGGTCAACTGTAACTGTCAACTGTATCTGTTTACCTGACCATAACAGTTCTCTTCTGTCCGTTAAGCTCAAAGTTCACCTCCCTCATACCAGCTTTATTCACCTAAAACAGAGAACAAATATAATTTTTTTTTTAATTGCCTTAAATTAGCTTGATAAGGACTGATTGGAGTGGCCTGTCCTATTCACAACTGTACCCCATCAAAACCTTTATCTTCTCATGATTTCAAGATATTGTAATTTTTTTTTTGCTGAAAATAATAATTTTCAATTGTGGATTGTGGAATACTGTAAAAAGTAAACGCAGATTTATGTAACAGAGTCAATGAAGGAAATTGTCAGCATTGCAGAATGTAGAAAAAAACGATATCCTCTTCATTTCATTTCATACATGTTAAAAAAAAATACCTTAAATTACAAGATTTAAATTAAATTTAACAAATTAAAATTCTACTCTGAAATAACCTTATAAAAAGCTAATGGAGTACAGGTCTTTCATACAAAAAAATAATTAAGTAATAAACCTCCCCCCCATTTTTTTTTTACCTCAATGCCAGGTGTCAGGGTCTTGATGGAAAGAGTTTTCCCTTTCTCAATTGTAACTTCAAATTCCTCTCCCATATCAGGCCCAACCAGGAAGTGCCTTTAATGCATATTTGAGTTTTTAATCTAAGAAATAAAGCTCTTCGCCCATATTTAACTATTTCCACAGGCAACGCCCGACACTTCAGCTAGTACTGTATAATCTCAGTCTGTCATTTTTTATTAAACAGTTCTTAGTGTAGACTGTACAGTCCAACTGTTAGGCTGGCAGGTACTCAGCTATTAACCTCCTGTTAGTGTACAGTCCAACTGTTTAGGCTGGCAGGTACTCAGCTATTAACCTCCTGTTAGTGTACAGTCCAACTGTTTAGGCTGGCAGGTACTCAGCTATTAACCTCTCTTGTCAAATAGTAGCTGAATAGCAAGTATTTTAGTATCAGTTATTTTTTTACACATGGACACAACACAGTGGGACGTATAAAACCGTGGATTGGACGAATGTTATCACAGAAGTTATGTTTCTAAAAAACATAACAATTAAAACAGCAACTGTGCATCAACTAATATCAACAGGACCGTAGCTAAATCTGAACTATATCTACCTTGTCTCTAGTTTATCTACAGGACCGTAGGTAAATCTGAACTATACTTTGTCTCTAGTTTGTCTAAAGGACCGATAGGTAAATCTGAACTATACCTTGTCTCTAGTTTATCTACAGGACCGTAGGTAGATCTGAACTATATCTACCTTGTTTCTAGTTTATCTACAGGACCTTAGGTAGATCAATAGTTTATCTACAGGACCGTAGGTAGATCTAAGCAATATCTACCTTGTTTCTAGTTTATCTACAGGACCGTAGGTAGATCTGAATTATATCTACCTTGTCTCTAGTTAATCAACAGGACCGTAGGTAAATCTGAACTATATCTACCTTTTCTCTAGTTTATCTGTAGGACCGTAGGTAAATCTGAACTATACCTTGTCTCTAGTTTATCTACAGGACCGTAGGTAGATCTGAACTTGAAAAACTCCTTTGCAACATGAGGATAGAGAGCATAGGACATCACATCTCGTGGTTGTATAGTTTCACCAAGCTAAATATTTCACAATTGTATAAACTGAAAGAAAATTGACATCTTTATAACCAATCATGTTTTTAGATACTTTAGACTACTTGGCACTAGAAGGGTCTGGCAACGTAATTTTATGTAACCCTCATTTTCAAGAGATTCGTGCCTTATTTACAACAGTACCCTCAAGACCTTAATATGTCGATTAGAACTGATTTTTATTGAATAAAATAAGAATATCTCAATCATATTCGTCCAGACAAAGGTAAATTGTAGGGTTGAAAATTAGGCATGTGACGCTTTAGGTTAGGGGTCGCTTTAAGTTAGGGGTCACTTTAGGTCAGGGGTTACTTTAAGTTAGGGACCACTTAAAGTTAGGGGTCACTTTAAGTTAGGGGTCACTTTAAGTTAGGGGCCACTTTAAGTTAGGGGTCACTTTAAGTTAGGGGTCACTTTAAGTTAGGGGTCGCTTCAAGTTAGTGGTCGCTTTAAGTTAGGGGTCTCTTTAAGTTAGGGGTCGCTTCAAACTTGACGGCCCATTTTTATAAGCATTAGATACCTATCTAAATATTTAAGTTAATATGTATTCACCTCGGTAGACAATGTTGTTTCTGCAGCCTCGAAATCAAATGGAGTCATATTTTCTCCAGGTCGTCCTTTAAACATACTTTATCATTCTTCCTCACTTCATCAATTTCATAATGAACGTGCTATATAGTAATCATCGTGCTAGAAAGTTTAATTAGCTGTACATTATAGCACTATGCTATAAAGTTTTGATTGGTTCCCGGGATTTTTTCCAAAAAATGTAGGATATTTCCAAAATATTTTTTTCAATCGGAATAAAAATAAAATTGAAATCAACTTTATATTTTGACTTCTGCTTTGTTTCAAAGCTTATTTGATCTATAAATAGCCATTGAAATAAGACAAGTAGACAAACGTTTCATAAAATTACCTATGAAACTATTATTTTGGCACGATGTGTTATAAGGTTTTGGACTTAAAAAATCTTTATTTCTCGAAAGTTCTCGCCTTTTTAGACTATATTTTGTCCCTCGCTAAAGCTCGGGACAAAATTAAATCTAAGAAGGCTTTGAACCTTCTCTATAGAGTGAACATTTTTGTCCAAAAACTGTATAACACTGCGAACCAAAATAACAGTGTTATAAATAGTTACAAATCTATATTTTTAAGCTTAACAAAAATACAGTTCAGAGTCCAAATTTAATGAATTTGAGCCGCGTCTCAAATCCGCCAAAAACCGGTTTCAATTGAACGCCGGTTTAAATCATGAAACATTGGAGACAATTGTTTTAATTCTTTAAATTCGGGCTATAATTTATAGAACAACTTAGTGACAGAGGAAGGAGTAGAGAGGTTTACTAGTGGTATACGGAAGCGTTTTCATACAATCGCGCATAGTAAAATTATTAATAACACTTTATCAAAAAAAGTTATTTGTTATTACAATTTCTCCATCAGGAAAGTAGACATAAGAGATTCCACGACAGATCTAACATTTATAAAAAAAGTAAAAGTGGCATTTTCAAGAAGAATTGCTTGCATGCAATATCAAATCAGGTTGACGGCAACTTTCTAACTATGTTCACGAAGAGTGGCGCAAAGCGTTAAAAATAAGAAATTTAACCTGAAACTCGGGGAAGGTCCTTGAGAACATCAGATCTGAAGGGTTCAGGGAAGCCACCGTGAGGTTGACCTAAAGAAAACTGTGTCAAACCCCTTAAAAAATCTTTGAAATTCTTCACCTCCTCCCCGGTCAGCTTGTTCTGAACCATAAACTGCGCCAGGTCTCCAACTATCTTAGAGCTTGGGGTCACCTAAATAACACAAACTGGATTTCCGAAATATTATTTAATTTGAAATTTTTAAGGACAACAAAACTTAATGGGGTTCTAAGAAGTCCTAAAAACTAATAAGAATTTTAGTTTATTAAATACAAACCAAATACTAGACAAAATCACTAAAGCATCCATAAAAAATCATGTCTTAAAATTCATTAAAGAAGCAGATCTTTAATAATTTCATTATAAAACATATCTTTAACTTTTTATAAACATAAATAAATAATTTCATTACCAATTTCTTTACAAATACACATTATAATACATATAGACTCCAAAGCTACAAAAACAAGAAAAACTTCACCTTGACTAGATCACCAAGCAATTGATTAGCTTCGGCATATTTAACTTTGATCGCCTCAAATTGATCGCCCAAGCCCAGCGAGTATGCCTAAATCAAAATGTATGTGATAACTGATGAAAAAAGAGAAACATGAAATAAAAAAAATGAGTTGGATTCATATTCATCATCAAATTATTTAGTGGATACTTTTAGTATGTATTTAAATTTTTGCCATAAACCTTGATGAACGCTTGATTTGGGCTAAAGCACATGACTATCAAATCCTAAAAGGCTTCAAAGCCGCTTTTTGTTGGGAAACCCGTTATTAGAGGTGTCATATATATTTCCAAAGGCATTATCCCAAGGGCGACTTCCTAAGTGAAAATTTTCCGAAGATTAGGCTAGGCCTTCTGAGGCACCGCAGGCTGCAATGCGGGCCGAGCACTGCGGCAAGGGAGCCAACAGCTGCGGATAAAACAGGCTAGGGAGCCGAGCACTGCGGCTAGGACAGATTTTGGAAATTGACACATGAATAATTGCACATTAAGGAAATTTCCACTTCAGTAAATACCCTAGGGAAGTTGAAGCTTGGGAAAATGTCCTCAGGAAAGTAATTAACATCGTATACCATATGTTTGGGGACACACCGTATAGTGTAAAATATTTTATCAAACCTGGAACTGAAGATTAGTGTACTGTCCACCTGGGATCTCGTGTTTGTAAACATCAGCGTTTCCAGATCTAATATAATAGGAAAATATTTTGCAGTTAAATTCATATATTCAATTATTAGAAATAACAATAAGTACCAATTGGCAACAGGCCATAAATGCATAAAATCTGCCACAAATTATGTTATATCATAACAAATGCCACTAAGTAAACCCTGATAAATAACTCCTGCCACAAATGCAATCAAAGTTTAAAAAGCATGCCACCTTCAGTATATAAAAGCCAAAAATATGCCACAAAATATGTCACAGCATAAAAATGCTTTAAATAATGTCTTGCCACACATACAATCAGATGCCACAAAAATTATCCAAATACACACATGGAAATGGTTCAAATAAAATTGGCTACAATTGCAATCAAATCTCCTAATCTCATTAAACTACGCCACAAAAAGATCATTTAATTGCATATCAGAAGGGGGGGGGGAGTATTATCCAAGACAAAAAGGCTATTTGTTATAATGCAAAAACAAATTATCTTCTCAACAGCATGTAAGAGAAGACATGTTTGAAAACAGACAAAATATCTATCTAAAAATATAGAGTGTAATACGTTATAAACTCAGTTTTTTAGCCTTGTTTCATAAATCTTAACATTATCGGAGGTTTTCAGGTCAAACTCCAGAACTTAAGCAACTTCCTTTAAAAATAAGTTTATAAAATCTCAAGTACTGACCTCATGGTTGTTGTGGATTCAAAAGGTCCATAATAGTTCCTTGTCTGCTCCCAGAAAGCTGAGTATTTACTAATAGCGTCCATATCTAGCTTACTCTCATGTTCACTACCCTACACAATATAAGATTTACTAATAGCGTCCATAGTTAGCTTACTCTCATGTTCACTACCCTACATAATATAATATTTACTAATAACGTCCATATCTAGCTTACTCTCATGTTCACTACCGTACACAATATAATATTTACTAATAGCCTCCATATAAAGCTTATTCTCATGTTCGCTACCCTACACAATATAATATTTACTAATAGCGTCCATATCAAGCTTACTCTCATGTTCGCTACCGTACACAATATAATATTTACTAATAGCGTCCATATCTAGCTTACTCTCATGTTCACTACCCTACACAATATAATATTTACTAATAGCGTCCATATCTAGCTTACTCTCATGTTCACATGTTCATTAAATTAATAGGTTCACACATACTATCCTGTTTACTAATAGTGTCAATAATAATAATAAATAATCATCAATATCTAGCTTAATATCATGATTACTTCCCTTCACTCGAAATTTTAGTATGATACAATAATTAAATAACGATAAAATTGAGATAATTAACGACGGAATGATGACTTTCAAAAATAACGGAAAATGAGGTAAATAACGAGCAACCTGAATTCTTATAACGGTTTTTTACCAACAGTTATTGAACGCGTTTTGAAAAAAGTCTAAAGGTGCCCAGCACTATTCAGAGCTGGTGCAATATTATATTAGGCATTTTCATCAAAAAAAGTCTCCAATAGTAAGAGAGATAGGTGTACCTGAAGACTAGCAACGAACGCTCCCATGCTAGGCTGTGACGTCATACCACTCATGCTGTCAACAGCTACATCAACAACATCGGCTCCAGCATATACACAGTTCAACATTGCAGCAATACCTAGACATCAACATCAACATCAACATCAACATCAACATCAACATCATCAACCTGCTCCACTATTAGTTTGAGTATGGATATGGACGTATACCTGCTCCACTAGTAGCATGAGTATGGATATGGATGTATACCTGCTCCACTAGTATCGTGAGTATGGATATGGATGTATACCTGCTCCACTAGTATCGTGAGTATGGATATGGATGTTTACCTGCTCCACTAGTATCGTGAGTATGGATATGGATTGGAATATGGGGATGCTTCTGACGAATAGCATCAACAAGGATAGTTGCAGCTCTTGGTTTAAGTAAGCCAGCCATATCCTGAACATGAAAAACTTAATTGATCACACTTATTTATGTCGCTATTGTTAAACTCTCTTTAACTATGCTAGAACCAAGACCGATTAGATATTTAGTAGAGAAACATTTTCTAAATCAATTAGATGCTTTAGTACTGTACTACTACTTACCTTAATACAGAGTACATGCGCCCCATTAAGAATAAGTTCATCAGCTAAGTGAAGATAGTACTTTAGGTTGTACTTAGTCTTAGTGGGGTCACTGATGTCTCCTAAAAATAATTATTGTTATAAAAGACAACCCCTCCTATCGTCTGAGCAAAATTGGCGAAAATAAACTTCTTTTCTATCTGGAATAAAAATCAGAATATGATAATTTATTTGGGACACCATGTATCTATAATAACTCCCGCCTGTCTGTGTTATATTTAGGACACCCTGTATCTATAATAACTCCCACCTGTATAAGATATTTAGGACCCCTGTATATATAATAACCCCATCTGTGTAGGATATTCAGGACACCCTCTATAATAACTCCCATCTGTATAGGATATTTAGGACCCCTGTATATATAACTCCCATCTGTGTAGGATATTCAGGACACCCTCTATAATAACTCCCATAGGTATAGGATATTTAGGACCCCCTGCATCTATAATAACTCCCATCTGTTTAGGATATTCAGGACACCCTCTATAATAACTCCCATAGGTATAGGATATTTAGGACCCCCTGTATCTATAATAACTCCCATCTGTGTAGGATATTCAGGACACCCTCTATTTTAACTCACTTAGGTATAGGATATTTAGGACCCCCTGTATCTAAAATAACTCCCATCTGTTTAGGATATTCAGGACACCCTCTATAATAAGTCCCGAATGTATGTTATATTTAGGACATCCTGTATCTAAAAAAAGCCCACCTGTGTAGGATATCGCAGCCTCGACAACACCTCCAGCTTTGCCGACAGCGTCCATTCCAACCACGAGGTTGGGGATATAGTTCAAGCTGTCAAATACACGGAATACATCCATTCCAGTCTGCACGGCTAGCTCACAGAACTACAGTAAAACAAGGTATATTATATAAACTCTAGACTCAGTAAAATTAGAAGTTAGGTACTTTCCCAAAGGATTTTTCCCAAGGGTATTTTCCCAAATGGCATCTTCCCATCAATGAAATTTCCCAAGCGGCAACTTGGCAAGTCTGTCCTAGCCGCAGCGCTCGGTCCCCAGCCTGTTCTAGCCATGGTTTTCGGCCCCTAGCGTATCCTAGCCGCAGCACTCGAGCCACATTGCAGCCTGCGGCGCCTTAGAGGGCCTAACCTAACCTTTGGGAAGTTGCCGCTTGGGAAGTTGCACATTTGGGAATTTTGCGCTTTGGAAAATTTTCACTTGGGAAGTTGATATAGGATTGATCTAGGACATTGTGAACACCGAAAGTTTAGTTGAAGGTGTACATTGTACAATGTACATGTAAACTTTTAGACAAATAAAATCTGACACAAAAAGTAACTTTCTGCATAAAATCTGTGAAAAACTCCTGCTGTATTGTTATAAAGGCAATATAAGGTCACAAAGCAGTATTTGTTCCAGCAATCTTGAATAAAACTGTGTGTGCCAGTACACAAAAAATACCTTGTAGATGACATTATCAGGATAAGAAGTATATCCAACAGCATTAGCTCCACGCAACAACATCTACAACAGCAACAACATCCACATAAATAGATATTTAAAGTATAAATCTGTTTAACATCAGGGCAAAAATAAGTTTACAATTAGATACAAAGGGTTGATATTCTTTTTAAATCAAAATGGAGCAAAAAAAACTTAATTAAAGTTATGTTGTTTTCCTGAAATGGAACATTAGGGATCTCTTTCCTCATTTGCTCCAACCTCTCCCAGGGGCACTCATGCAGGAACCTGGACAACAACGTAGTTGATAATCAGAATACTAAACAATACAGTACACTACAGTACACAATTCAGGAAAGCAGTGTGCACTACAGTACACAATACAGGACAGTAGTGTACATTACAGTAGAGAACACTCATGCAGGAACCTGGACAACAACATAGTTGATAATCAGAATTCTACACAGTACAGTACACTACAGTACACAATACAGGACAGTAGTGTACACTACAGTATAGAGAACACTCATGCAGGAACCTGGAAAACAACGTAGCTGATAATCAGAATTCTACACAGCACGTTACACTACAGTACACAATACTATACAGGACAGTAGTATACATTACAGTATAGAGAACACTCATTGATAATCTGAATTCTACACAGTACAGTACACTACAGTACACAATACAGGACAGTAGTATACATTACAGTATAGAGAACACTCATTGACAACAACCTAGTTGATAATTGGAATAGTATACAATTTAGAATAGCAGTGTACACTACAGTACACAATTCAGGAAAACAGTGTGCACTACAGTACACAATACAGGACAGTAGTATACACTACAGTATAGAGAACACTCATGCAGGAACCTGGACAACAACCTAGTTGATAATCAGAATTTTACACAGTACAGTACACTACAGTACACAATACAGGACAGTAGTGTACATTACAGTATAGAGAACACTCATGCAGGAGCCTGGACAACAACCTAGTTGATAAATGGAATAGTATACAATTTAGAATAGCAGTGTACACTACAGTACACAATTCAGGAAAACAGTGTGCACTACAGTACACAATACAGGACAGTAGTATACACTACAGTATAGAGAACACTCATTGATAATCAGAATTCTACACAGTACAGTACACTACAGTACACAATACAGGACAGTAGTATACATTTCAGTATAGAGAACACTCATGCAGGAACCTGGACAACAACGTAGTTGATAATCAGAATTTTACACAATGCAGTTCACTACAGTCACAATACAGGACAGTAGTATACATTACAGTAGAGAACACTCATGTAGGAACCTGGACAACAACATATTTGATAATTAGAATAGTATACAATTCAGGATAGCAGTGTACACTACTGTACAAAAAAAAACCGATGTTAGGTACATTCCAAAAGTATTTTCCAAAGGGGCAACTTCCCAAAGGGTTTGTTACCAAGTGGCGACTTCCCAAGGGTATTTTTCCAAGTGGGGACTTCCCACTTGTGGAACTTCCCAAGCGCCAACTCCTAGCCGCAAGCGCTTAGCCTCTTCGCCTGTTCTAGCTGCAGCACTCGGCCCCCTAATTGCAGCATGCAGCTCCTCAGAAGGCATACCATAATCTTTGTGAAGTTACCACTTGGGAAATTGCACATTGGGGAAGATGCCCCATGGGAAATTGTCGCTTGGGAAGTTGCCCTTGGGAAAATGCTTTTAGGAAAATACCTAACACCCACAAAAACAGGACAGGATGGTAGTTTGAGTAAAGTTCATTATTTGGCCATATTTAAAAAATTGATGAATTTGGTAACACCCATCTTTCAACTATAATATCATCGCAAGTAGAGACTTTAGCCTAACCAAAATTACTTCTAACTAAAATATTATTTTCAGGTTTGTATATCTTCAGTCACGAATTTTTTTCTTCATTCAGTGTAACATTTACAGGAAACAAGTATGCAAAATAATGCATTTATTTAAGATCAGCTGGAGTCCAGACCATGAGTTATTACAATTTGTTTAACATCTTAGAGAGGAGAAAGGAATGGCTTTATCCAGTCTTTGGACAATCTACAGTATGATTAATTTTGTTTCAAAGGGAAAATATTCATTTAATCTTAATCAGTACTGCAGAGTTACAATGCTGCTGAAAAGCTTTGATATTGATATCAACAAGGCTAATTTGTTCAGCACCAGTAACATTGAGCAGTTTCTTTAAGATGCTGACTCTCCTACTCCTTATTGGATCGATAAAAGGACAATTATTTGTTTGGCTTGTCATTTTGGACTAGGGCATACAGAAATGATATTCAGATAGAATTGTGAGAGATCTGAGGGAATCTATGAATTTAAGAAAAATTAAGGGCATGTAATCATTTTTCAGACTTCTAGAACCAATGGAATGAGTTGCTTTTTACTCCCCTCCGTGTCCAAATTAACGCCAACATTTTAGTTTGAAATTCTTTTTCTAAGAAAGTATTACATTGAAATTCTTTAAAATGTAATATTTTATCGAATGTAGCTTGAAAGATAGCTTGGTTCCTTCTTGAATTATACGAGTTGAGATCTTGCCTTGATAATTGGTAATTGAATCAAATGTAGCTTGAAAGATAGCTTGGTTCCTCGTTGAATTATACATTTTGAGATTTGGAGTTTCTTCGGTTTCTTACTCAAATATCTTCAAACTTTAGAATGTATGTTTTTTTAAACAATTTGTGTTCAACTAAAGTGAGTTATATGTTTTTCCTAAACATCCGAAAAGTTAGGCTCAACTATAAACAATTAATGCACTCTCAACTACAGTACTGTACACAATACAGGATAGAGGTGTACACCACAGTATTGTACAAATACTGCATAGTAGTGTACACTACAATACTGTACATACTACAGAATAGAAATGTACACTACAGTACTGTACATTATAATATATATTACTACAGTACTGTACATAATACAGGATAGAAGTGTATACTACAGTACTGTACATTATAATAAATATTGGTGTACACTACAATACTCTAAATAATACAGGATAGTAATGTACACTACAGTACTGTACAAAATACAGGATAGTAATATACACTACAGTATTGTACATAATACAGGATAGTAATGTACACTACAGTACTGTACAAAATACAGGATAGTTATGTACACTACACTACTATACAAAATACAGGTAAGTAATGTACTTTACAGTACTATACAAAATACAGGAAGCAGTGTAAACTACCGTAATGTCAACCATACAGGACAGTAATGTTCATTACAAAACTATACTGTACATACCACAGAACATTAGTGTACACTACCGTACTGCATAAATAAAACAGAACCTATAACCGAACTGTGTACACTGTACAGTACGGTATTTACCTCATTGATACATCAAAGGTAGCTCCTCCCCAGTTCTCCACTGAGTACAAGCTCGAGAAGTTATGAGCAACAAAGGGAGATATCTTGAGAAGATCATGGGTTCGAACCCTAGTAGCTAGCAGGGACTGATGAGCATCTCTTTATAATAATATTTATACTTCAAAACAATTATAATGTGGGATTGATGGTACAGCATTGAAACATCCTAACTCATCTAATTTTCATTTTAGTGAGTAAAGAACACTTATGTAAAGTTTATTTGAACAGGTCTTCAGTAAAGGTAGTTTTGTTAGACTCTATGCAAAATTTCAAACTGTACTAACATTTATCAGCGAATATTTTTTTTGACAATAACGTAAAAAAGTACAACTTTAAAGACATGTTTAGACCTATCAATCTAAAATCAAAGTTTTGCAGTGGCAATTTTAATTTACATTATATTCCTGAAAGTAGTGTCTGTAACTAGTACTAGGATGGTAGGGCTTTAAAGTATATTATATCCCTGAAAGTAATGTCTGTAACTAGTACAAGGATGGGAGGGATATAAAGTATATTATATCCCTGAAAGTAGTGTATGTAACTAGTACAAGGATGGTAGGGCTATAAAGTATATTAAATCCCTTTATGTAGTATCTGTAACTAGTACTAGGATGGAAGGGCTATGAAGTATATTATATCCCTGAAAGTAGTATCTGTAATAAGAGCTCCTTGATGCTTCCTGACAGCCTTAGCAAAACCTTCAGGTCCCTCGACCCGGAGAACATCCTTGAGACCAAAGGGAGGTCGAGTCAGAGGAGTTTGTGGAGCCTCAACCTAAGTACAACAGTTTATTAAAGACTTGATCTCCTCTTTTTGTTAATTAAATCTTTATTTCTTGGCTGCCCTTATTATACTATGTTATTAAGTCATCTTCATTTTGTCCCAGCTATCCGGGATAAAATCACTTCAGCCGAGATGAAATATTCTCAGCAGGGATATAATATTCATTACTTCCCTGCTGCCAATATTATATACCAGCTAGTAGGGAAGTAATAAATATTATATCCCTGTTGAGAATATTTCATCTCCGCTGAAGTGATTTTATCCCGAATTTTAATAATTAAGTTGAGTATTTTCACATGTTCACAAAGGATTTTGTGAGTTTAGTTAAAAGTTTCAGGATAAATGAGAATGTAATCATAAGAACACATTTATATTTTAAAAATCAACATCTGGAGTCACAAGCAAACGTGCTCCTGGATGAAAGCGACAACACAATAAAAATTAAGAGGAAATTTGCTCGAGCAAAGAAATAAAACCACCTATATACCTACTAGTTGAAGGGAGGCGGGAAATAATAAATTTCGGCCAGGATTTTTAATTTTTTAGGACTTTTTGAGACTTTTTAAACATTCTTTTCAACCCTCGCTTTTATTATTTCCCGCCTCCCTTCTTCAACTAGTATGTATATAAATAGATATTACAAGATATCCAGAAAAGTCTTAGGTAAAACCAATCAGAGTGTCGCTTGCAAAAACCAAACAGCCAATCAGAAGCTGGAAAATTGCGCGCAACCAATGAAAGCTCATATTGGTCGGAACCCAGGTCCGGTAACTTTTGAATTGGCATAATTAATTTTAATGAGTAACTTCTTTTTATCTCTCAATTTGGTCCAAATATTTTACTTTTAATCAATGGGAGAGGGAGAATGAGGACTGAGTTGAAGCAATTAACACATTCATTTAAAGTTTCTTAACTCGTATATAAAGAATTTTAACACCTCTTTTCTAAGAATATGGTTCAAATTTACCACAAGAAATCTATGTTTTTCAAGACAAAAGGGGGCCCAAATAAATTCAGAATGAAATGATATTGTAAGAGCAGTTTATTAAATTGTTGTAATTTAACTCTAGTTATTCTAGTAAATTAAACTCTAGTTATTCTAATTAATGTATTAACTATTTTGCATAAGATAAAATCGCATCCTGATCTCTTGTTATCATTATTAAAATTAGGTGGAAAAAAATAATCAAAACAGCCAAGAACTATTTTCCACCTAATTGCTTTATACTTGTACTGAAAAGTCATGTAAATGCAGGGGAACTTAATCAATGTTTGGAACTTTCTTCCCAAAAAATTCACCCAAACATGGAATTTGCGGAATAAAGGGGTAGGTAAGTAAGTGCAGGGGAACAGAGTTCCAAACCTTGCTGAGGTTACAAACCTGACAGTCAGTGTCGGGTTTAGAACTTAATCAAGGGTTCGAACTTTCTTCCCCTAAAATAAAACCGAGCATTGAATTCAATGGAATGACAGGCAGTAACGTAAATGCATAAGAAAGTTTCAATGCAAGTTGAATATACATACCTGACTCTCACTGTCATGATTTGGAACTATGTTCCCCTGAATTAAAAACTACCTTAATCTTGGCAGGAAGAATATTAGTGACCAATGGGGTGGTTGGTCCGTTGACAATTACTGTTCCCAGGTAGTTAAGCAACTTGCTAGCCCTAAACAAAGACATTTATGAAAGTCGTTCTCTAACAAAGATTTTAGAAAAAAAATAAAATTTCTGGGGTTTTTTGCGATATTTTTTCAAATGTTATTGCAGGATCCCCAAATTTTGAGAACTGCCCTTACAGCCTTAAGACATGTTTAAGCAACAAAATCAAAGCCAATAAGTGAACTGTATGAACGTAAAGTACTGCCTAAAAAAAGAAGGGAAATCCTTAAAATCACATCAAAAAGACTATCAGGATGCATCTCGTCAGTCAGGCAGTTGACTTAGGGCTTTGATTTTTACTACAAAATGTTTAATACAGCAGTGTGGGGACCATTTAGAAATCATGTTTGAAAAAAAACCAAGCTAACTGTTTTACAAGAATATGAGATCTGCAAGAAGCCCCATTTTGAGCAAAAATGCCCCACCTGTTCATGCTTGGCTTGAAATCAAAGAGTTGCGGATTTTCATCAATGAACCGAGTTGAGATAGTCTCGTTCAAGAACTGAGGATGACTGCAGAAATAAATACTCTTCAGAAAAATTCAAAATGGTATTTACGGAGGGAAAAATTTAAATGCAGAAAAACAATATTTGAACCAAAAAAGATCATTTTTCGGTCAATTTAACTCTTAACGAAAATGTTTTAAGCTGAAAGTTGGGCATGCACTATTCGGAGAGGGTTCAAGCTGCAGGCCCTTTGATTTTACCCTTGTCATACATCTTGTACTGTAGCTCTGATTAGGAAGAATTTAAGTAGCAATCGCTTGATCTAGACTTAGCTTAAGGATTTTTTGCAAATTGGTTATTGGTATAAAGTAGTTGGTAAGAATCTTAAAAACTAATCCCAATATATAAGGAAAGAGAAAAAATTCCTGAGAACATTTCGGATGAAAGGAATGTTGGTTTTAACTCCACGAATTCTAAATAGTTAAAAGTAAACATTTTGCTAATTTACAGATTTTATTCCTAGTAATATACATGGACTGTCGTCATAGTTTGAAGTGGGTGTTTCTAGTGCAATATACATGGACTGTCCTCATAGTTTGAAGTGGGTGTTTCTAGTATACTCATGGACTGTCCTCATAGTTTGAAGTGGGTGTTTCTAGTATACTATACATGGACTGTCCTCATAGTTTGAAGTGGGTGTTTCAGGTTTCTGTTAAAGCAGAGCTATAGCAAATTCACAACTCGACATTTAAAACCCTTTATCATTAATATGTGATATTTTGTCGTTTTTTAGCTTTTCACAACTTCCTCCTTTGGTTTTGAAGCAAGAAATCCGCATCACTTTATGGACACAATAAAAAAAATAACATCATTTTAGTGGTACTGATGCGAGTTGACCATACCACTATATATAAATGGTCAATTTTAATCACAATCCCTTTAATAATCACAGAAAACTGCATAAAATATTAATGGTTACAATTCCTAAACTCAGTGAGTGCTCGTCTCATTTTAGACGCAGCATCTTGGAACGTCATTCCACGACTGATAATCTTAACTATATTCAGAATATTTAACTTAAAATAAAAACACAGGGTGTCAAAAAAGACGCTTATTTAGACACTTAAATTTCCGTTAGATTGATTTACCAAGAGGTATGTAGGACAAAAATTTAAGAAGTTTAAATGACAATTCAATTTGACAATTTCTTCGTTTGAAACGATTAAAAATGACTTTATCTTTTTCAGAGATCAGAACTTTGTTTTAATATATTAAATAATTAAGTTTAATTTTTCTAATTCTATTTTTGTAGAAGCATCATTTTCATGAGGATTTTTTATACTAAATGTTATAATTATCACCGCTTTTCAAGTAAATGAGAAAAATTAAGCAAAAATTAAGAATGTCAAGAGGTACAGATCTCAAATGTTTAGATTTCAGTATTCTGGTTCCTAGGAGAGAATCATAGTCTGGAGTAATCTCAGCTCCAGTGAACGCAATCCCGTCCAACCTGATCCCCATACCCTGCCCTGATCTGTACACCTCAATCCGTCCTAAACCATGTCAAAATATTAATTACTTATAACCCCATACCCTGCCCTCATCTGTACACCTCAATCCGTCCTGAACCATGTCAAAATGTTAATTACTTATATTCCCATACCCTGTCCTGATCTGTACACCTCAATCCGTCCTAAACCATGTCAAAATATTACTTTTTTATATCCCCATACCCTGCTCAGATCTATGCACCTCAATCCGTCCTAAATCATGTCAAAATATGAATTACTTATATTCCCATACCCCTGCCCTGATCTATTCACCTCAATCCGTCCTAAACCATGTCAAAATATTAATTACTTATATTCCCATACCCTGCCCTGATATATACACCTCAATCCATCCTGAACCATGTCAAAATATTACTTATTTATATTCCCATACCCCTGCCCTGATCTATACACCTCAATCCGTCCTGAACCATGTCAAAATATTACTTATTTATATTCCCATACCCTGCCCTGATCTGTACACCTCAATATAAGATCTGTACACCTCAATTCGTCCTCAACAATATCAAAATAACAATTATTCATGTATATCACACTTCCCTGCAATGAATTTCAGAAAATTTTTTAATTTAATTTTTCTTATGCAAGAAAATGGGGATCTGTACTGATCCTCAATATTAACCCTGCTGGGTAAAGCAGCTCCATGGACAAATAATAGTGCCGCAATGGCTAATTGGATTTTTAGTTTTCTTATACAAGTAAATGGAGACCTCAGATGTATAATATACCTGTATCTGGCTGGAATCCCTTTGCAGGGTCTTCAGTAGTAACCCTGCTCTGAATAGCTGCTCCATGGGTCTGGATGGTCTCCTGGGTGAGGCCTAGGCTAGGTAGAGAATGTCCTTCACATACACGGATCTGGGTCTGTACCAGATCAATACCTGGAGATTTTTCAATTATCATAGAAAAATGCACGTCGTACATTAAAACAATCTGCAATTTTCACACCCTTCCCCTGGTTTGGTAAATGATTGATTGCTTCAATAATTCATACATGATGCAAGGATACCAAATGATATAATTTTCAACGAAACGCTAACCTGTTACTTCTTCAGTAACAGTATGCTCTACTTGAAGTCTTGCATTAACCTCCATAAAATAATGGCGACCTAAATTAGAAAAAAATTTAATTTAAAATTCAAAGTTTACAGTTGTATGTTTACTGTTCCAAGTTTACCATTCCAAGTTAGCACTGAACCATTTCAAGTTTACTGTTCCAGGTTTATTTGTTCCAAGTTTATACTGTGGATAGTTTATAAAGTTAGCAAGTTTAAACAATTCCAAGTTTACTATTTTAAGTTTACTGTTTTAAGTTCACTGTATAAAGTTTACACTGTTCCAAGTTAACTTTTTCAAGTTTACTGTTTCAAGTTTACGGTTTCAAGTTTACGGTTCAAAGTTTACGGTTCAAAGTTTACTGTTCAAAGTTTACTGTTCAAAGTTTACTGTTCAAAGTTTACTGTTCAAAGTTTACTGTTCAAAGTTTACTGTTCAAAGTTTACTGTTTTAAGTTTACTGTTTTAAGTTCACTGTTTTAAGTTTACTGTTTAAAGTTTACTGTTTTAAGTTTACTGTTTTAAGTTTACTGTTTTAAGTTCACTGTTTTAAGTTTACTGTTTTAAGTTAACTGTTTTAAGTTTACTTACAAAAGTTTACTTACAAAAGTTTACCGTTTTAAGTTTACTGTTTTAAGTTTATACAGTTTCAAGATTGCAGTTTCAAGATTGCAGTTTCAAGGTTACAGTTTCAAGTTTATACAGTTTCAAGTTTATAGTTTCAAGTTTACACTGTTCCAAGTTTAATGTTCCAAGTTTAATGTTCCAAGTTAAATGTTCCTAGTTTACTGTTCCAAGTTTACTGTTCCAAGTTTACTGTTCCAAGTTTATACTGTTCCAAGTTTACTGTTCCAAGTTTATATTGTTTCAAGTTAGCTGTTTCAAATTTAACTGCTCCAAGTTTACTGTTCCTGTTTAAAGTTTCCGGTTTTAATTTTTAACTGTTCCAATTTTACTGTTTGAAGTTTGAAGTTACCAGTGGAAGGTTCCACAAGGAACTCTACTGTTCCAGCATTACTGTATCCAACCGAGTCACAAAGCTTGACAGCATCATCAAGTATGTTTTGACGTACCACAGGGTCCAGATTGAAGGCCGGAGCTATTTCAACAACCTGAAGATAATTTAAGATTGGCCAGAACAAATTCTTTTTAGAAAAACTCGAGAATAACCGGGTTATCATACATCAGTTTGAATCTTTTTCCTCTTAACAAGTATTTTATCAATTCAAATTCAACAGGATTAATATTTTTACCTTTTGATGTCTTCTCTGCACAGAGCAATCCCTGTCGAAGAGATGAACAATGTTTCCATGCTTGTCTCCCATGATCTGAACCTCAATATGTCGAGGCCGGTCAATAAACCGTTCAATAAAGATGGATCCATTACCAAAGGACTTAACAGCCTCCGAATGTGCTCGTTCAAACTGTTCTTTCACGTCCTCTAACCTAGTTACAACCCTCATTCCTCGACCTCCACCACCGAAGGCAGCCTAAATGTATTGCATATAAAGTTTAATAAATACCCATAAAAAGTATTTGAAAACAATGGAAAAGACCATTAATTTTAATTGATTCGAAGCACTGCATACTGTGCAAAGCCATTAAAATTTTTTAGTTTGTAGCAAAGTTTACCTTAAAGATGACAGGTACTCCATGAGATTCAACAAACTCTAAAGCTTCCTCTGCAGTATTAATGGCATGATCTGTTCCTGGGATAATAGGTAGTCCAGCAGCAATAGCAGATTGTCTCGCAGCAACCTTAATAAAATATATTAATGATCTGTTCCTGGGATAAAAGGTAGTCCAGCAGCAATAGCAGATTGTCTAGCAGCAACCTTAATAAAATATATTAATGATCTGTTCCTGGGATAAAAGGTAGTCCAGCAGCTATAGCAGATTGTCTCGCAGCAACCTTAATAAAATATATTAATGATGTGTTCCTAGGATAAAAGGTGGTCCAGCAGCTATAACAAATTATCTAGCAGCAACCTTAATAAAATATATTTTAAGAGAACAAATATCAAGAAAATTTTATAGAAAATAGAATGGAACCTTGTAGAGATAAAAATCTTTTTCAAAATACATTTTTTCATCTCAAAACTATGGAAAATTTCTTTTCGTTTATATGACTGAAAAAAATATTTTTCGTCAAAACAATTAAAATATAACAATAATAATCCAACCAAAACTTTTCACATAATGATAATTTCCAGAATTTTATTTTAGTTATTAATGACTTTTTTTTAAACCAATAATTGCCCGTCCCTATCTTCTTAGTTTAATTTCGCGGTTATGACAAAATATGTATTTAGTAGTTTTGCTACCTTATCTCCCATCCTTGCCATAACAGCAGCTGGAGGACCAATAAACCTGATTCCTGCCTTAACACAGGCATCAGCGAAGTCAGATCTTTCAGAGAGGAATCCGTATCCAGGATGGATTGCTTCAACATCGTGCTCCTACAACATTTAGGAAAATAAAGCAGCCGGAGCTGAAAACTTAAGAATGAGATATCCTTAATCCCGATTACTTAATCTGAGTATCCAATGGACACACTTTTGATTTTCTTCTTATACCGTTCTTTCTTGGATTTAGTAGAGAAAAATCAAAAACCGGGTTTTTTTTAATTTAAACGAGTCCCTCCCGTTTCTGTATATATTCTTAAATGGCGCGCAAAATTACAAATATATCGGCTTCATACGCTGATTGTTTAAATTTTTTACACCTTTTAGGATACATGTACAAGATAAGGTTAGTATCGATATTAAGAAAAAGAGAGGATCAAGCATTAATCTCAATATCCACCATTCTAAAGTTTTCAGCTCAGGAGAAAAAAGTATTCCATTTTTAAACCCACACTTTTTTACCCGAACCAAAGTTGGGTTTATCCAAAATTTAAAGTAATTGAACCAAGGATGATACGAGATATACAGGGTCAGATCTTTATGCACCCCCCCCCCACACATCTTAGAAAAGTACGATTAAACAAATAACTAATATAAATGATGATACATCAAACTTTGCACAAACTATTTCCAAAGGTTTCATTATGCAAATTCAACTTTTAAGATTTAAAAAATGCAATTTTAAAATTTTACAATAATCAAAATTATCTACAAACAGAACTCCTGTATGACCGGCGAAATATAGATTTTGGAAGAAAGGGGAATTCCAATTAAGTTTTAGAAATATGTTACCGTAAGGGATATTTTGAAACATTCACTCAAAAAAATTGAGGAAGAAAGAACAAATATTTTTCCGAAAATATTGTATATTAAAGCTTAATAGTAGCTAACTAAATTTATTATTTATTTATGTGAAATCCAAAAACCTGTGTAAACAGGAAGACGACATATTTTTAATCTTTCATTTCTTTTCACCCCCCCCCCCCATACCACTTCACATCTGTCGGTCAACTATTTATGCTTTGTAACTACCTCCAACTTACCTGAGCAATTCTAATAATCCCCGGGACATCAAGATAAGCTCCTACTGGGGATAGTCCTTTTCCAACTAGGTAAGCTTCATCAGCTTTCACCCTTAACAGTCATATTTACCATAAACATCATTAAAGGGAATATCTACTAAGTTCTAACTGATTCTCCATCGATTCACTTTGGTACCCTTTAAACCTTTTAGTATTTTGCCGGCCTTTTTACTGCATTTACCCACAAGTCAATGTCAAAGAAAAACCGCAATACAAAATAATCATTTTTCACTTCGAAAAATGGTATCATCATCCTTTTTGACTTGCACAGACAAAAATTAAAAAGGAACCATTGTGAATAGGGAATGTAAATTCTAAAATATTTTGTCAGTCACTTTACCAAAAATTTGAATAATTTTGACGAGTTTGAAGTACGCTATAAGAAGAAATAATGCATTCAGAATTTAAAATTTTTAACACATTTCTTGTAAAAATATTGAGTCTGCTATACCTGTGAATATGCCTCCTATCCTGCTCACTGTAAATGGCAACCGATCTAAACAAATTCAACTGAATATTTTTTACAGATACTGGGCATCGTTTTAGAGGCTTTTACATGGCTTCACACAGGGGAGAAAATTCTTACTTTTAATCCTCCTTCAGGAGGGGGCGGGGGGGGGGGAAGAATTCAGTCCAGGGAAGAAGATTCAGGGAAAGAGAGAAAAAGAAAAAGGAAGAAAAAAGGAAACAGGGGAAGGCAAAGAAAAGGGCCAGAAAAGAAAAAAGGGAGGAAAGGGAAGAAAAAATTTATTAGAAGAAGAAGAAGCATATTAATATCACTGTATTAACTCTATGAGTCTGGGAAAAAATGCATAAGATATTTCTTCACATTTATTTCTGAATGGTGATATTATTAGGGAAGAAAAAAAACCATAATATCCCCAAAAAAATATTAATAAGTTTCCCCCATTCCCTATGGGGAAGAGAAATCAAATATTTTAGAAAAGTTCCATTATACTAAGAACTGAGTCCTATTTCCCAATTTTATGTTAAGTTCTAATGGAAGAGAATTCAAAGAATCTTTAAAACCCTTTATTGTGGCTCAGGCATAAACTGCTTGGACTAATAAGACAGCTAAGTGTAAAACAAGATTTTTTTTCAAGTTTTGTTTAATTATCATTATTTTTATCTGCTCGTTTTGTCTCACACAGGATATTATGCAAAACCTTTGAGGAAAAGTATCACAATTTTTCCTTAATATCATGCTTTACCCCAATTAAAAAAGCTTCAAGAATTTCAAAAAAACTTCTAAGGGAACCTGGTTTTTGGATCATTTTAGGGCACATAAAAACTCCATTGTACAACCAAAATACAAAAATTTTACTCCGTAAGGAAAACTCTGCTCCTCTTGCAACCCCCCCCCCCCCCCGCAGCAAACTCTTTAGGCTTAGCGCAGGCTGCGTCAAACTGTTAAAAAACCTGATTAACAAAATCTATTTTCAAAACGATTAGTTTTGCTCCAGACAAATAATTGTAGCGAAAAGACCAACTTAAGGGGGGGGGGGTAGGGAACGATATTTTTACGAACAAAAGATTTCTTGCTAGATACGATAATAATTTTAAAAATTCATAATTCAAGTTACAACTTAACAAACAAAACAATCCGTTTAGGCTGGGATAGCAATCTCTTAAACGTTCCAGTACAGTGTACTAATAGAGTAAATAAAGTTATATAGCGACAATATATACAGACTACTGATATTTATTATATTCAGGAGTCTGATGATTGACAGCTGTGGTGTCACCAGCCATAGCAGAGCATCACTTCGTGATGTTTGACCCCTGGAGTGCCCCAAGACAATACTTCAGTAGTGTCTTATTTTATATGTGTCTTGTGCACCCAAGAGGTTAAATATCCAGAAGCTCTGCTGTTACAGATAGAATGAAGAACCGTCGGGATACGTAACCATTTACTTGTTTGCTACTCACGGTCTCTCCTTCCACACAGAGAGGATTCCAAGAAGAGAAGGATTATAAGGTGACCGTCTTCCACACTATTGTAGCCATGTACTTAAGCAAGTACTAGCGGAATCAGGTAGATGATTTTCTCGGTCTAGAGGGGCTAGCATGAAGTTTGTACAAGTAGGTAAAGTGTAAAAGAAAGCAAGCAGAATCCTGTTTTCTCTCAGCTTTCTACAGTCTCAGTGACCTCAACGGCGGTATATTAGTTAAACTGCTAACAGCAGTATGCTCAGACGCTAAAGGGAGGGGGTTCTAGCTGGCCCAGGCAGGAAATGGAGGGAAGGGGTGGGGTGCTAGGGGAGGGGGGGGATATGTACTCTATATATCTATTAATGTACTGTTAAATACCTTATTCCCATCTCAGTACAAGCTCTGAATACTCGGATAGCAATTTCTCCTCTATTCGCCACCATCACCTTCTTGATAGGTGTCAGTTGTCCATCCGGACTAAAAATATAAGTTTTATTGTCCATCTGGACTAAAAATTTAGGTAGTAGTTGTCCATCCGGACTTAAAATATAGGTCGAAGTTGTTTATCCGGACAAAAATATAGGTTGTTGGTGTTCATCCGGGCTAAAAATTAGGTTTAACTTGTCCATCCGTGCTAAAAATATAGGTCAAAGTTGTCCATCCGGACTAAAAATATAGGTTGAAGTTTTTTATCCGGACTAGAAAGGTCTAAGTTGTCCATCCGGACTAAAAAATATAGGTTGAAGTTATCCATCCGGACTAAAAATTAGGTCGAAGTTGTCCTTCCGGACTAAAAATATAGGTCTAAGTTGTCTTTCCGGACTAAAACTGCCTAAGTTGTCCATCAGGGCTAAAAATATAGGTTGAAGTTGTTTATCAGGACTAAATAGGTCTAAGTTGTCCATCCGGACTAAAAATATAGGTTGAAGTTGTCCATCCGGAATAAAAATATAGGTTGAAGTTGTCCATCCGGACTAAAAATATGGGTTGAAGGTGTCCTTTCGGACTAAAAATATAGGTCATAGATGTCCATCCGGACTAACAAAGGTGGAAGTTGATCTTCCGGACTAAAAATATAGGTCGAAGTTGTCCATCTGGACTAATAATAAAGGTTTCAGACCCGAAATATGCGTATTTGTGCTTCATGAAGGGATTAACGTGCATTGAGTTATGATATTTTATTTCATAGAAATTCATTAAAAGTTTTCATCTCAATTCTAATCTCAAGTAAGTTATTAGACTTATAAGTTACACTTATATATTTGGACTTCCTGTATTTATATAAATGTTATTTAAGTTGGTTAGACTTGGATATAAAACTAGTTTGAACAATTTACTGCCGAGATTTGTCAGTGTCTAATATCAAGAATAAATAAAACAAACTATTAATTAAATGCAAAGTTCAGGGTTTCCAGGGAAATGAAAAATAGTTGCGTAAAAAATCTCATTTTTGGAGACATTTTTAGTTCTGCCGAAAATTTCGCATTTTTTGGATTTCGTAGAAAAATAAGAAAAAATGTTAACTTTTTTTGCGAAATTTTGCGTTCTAATAAAAATCAAATAAAGAGAAAAAAATTCTTATTCCGCGAAAAAAAAACTTAAATGAGAACTCTCTTAATAGTTAACACTCCCCCCCCCCCCATGTTTAGATTGACATATTGCAACTTGAGAAATACCAACTGGGATTCAAATCAATACTATTTGACGTTCATTCAAAATAAAAGTTATAAAAATGGATATAAACAAACTGTAATTTAATATTAGAAATTAGAAAATATATTAATAAACCTGACAGGAGAGGTAGATAGATAGTGTCTGCAGGATCCGAATATTCTATAATAATTTATCATTTATGAATTCATATTATAATAAAGGAAAGAGACAAATATAGAAATAAAAAGTAAAGAGAATTGTGAAGATTTAAAACTAGTTTTTTCCTCATATTTTCTATTTTTGCATAATTCGTTATTATCAAATGACAAAAGTCATAAACTATTGGTGAAAAAATTACCAACACTTTTTAAGAGCTATTTCCGTTCAAATAACAGAATTATCAGCGACGTTTCTGGTAAAAAAAAACTTTAAAAGACGAAATTATTTTCTCTGTTCACATGGCAACGACTGTATGTTCCAGGGTTACACTCTTTCTTGGACGAACCGGAATTCTTTACATCTAAAGATTACAATTAAGACCATGCCATCTGCCGTGTTATGCCGTATGTTAATTTTGGTGAAGGAAACTTTACTTTGGTATTTAACTAAATAAAGCATCTTTGTACAGAGCTGGACAATTATTTGTCATAATAACGAATATTATTTAATCTACTGCCAGAAGAGTAAATTATAATTAATAAATATCTTTTGAACGGATTTGCAATTGTATAAATATAGAAATGCAAGCGTAATCATTTTTAAACATTTCAAATATCAGGTACAAGTACTGCACAAGGTTGATCACACATGCATTTCAACGCACTTGTCGAATTGTCGTCTTCAATCTTACTTTTGACAAAGAAATGTCGCTGATTCTATAATTTGACAGTGAATCTCTAAAAATGTTATAACATGTTTAAAAGATGAATGCATTAGTCGTAAATAAGACAAGTACAAAAAGCAAGAACAAAAGACATTTATTTCACCATTTTCTGGTTGACTCTGTACAGTACAATATGCAAAGTATACAGCATCGTTTGTAAGCTGTACAGTGTACAGCACAGTTTGTAAACTGTTCAGTGTGCAGCATAGTTTAGAAACCGTACATGAACAGTGTACATTTAAGTTTGTAAGTTGTATAGTGAACTACACAGTTTGTATACTGTACAGTGTACAGCATAGTTTGTAAACAGTGCAGTTTACAGCACAGTTTGTTAACTGTAGTGTACAGCATCGTTTGTAAACTGTTCAGTGTACAGGACAGTTTGTAAACTGTAGTGTACAGAACAGTTTGTAAACTGTACAGTGCACAGCACAGTCCGTAAACTGTACGTACAGCACAGTTTGTGAACTGTACAGTGTACAGAACAGTTTGTAAACTGTACAGTGCACAGCACAGTCCGTAAACTGTACGTACAGCACAGTTTGTGAACTGTACAGTGTACAGCAGTTTGTGAACTGTACAGTGTACAGTACAGTTTGTAAGCTGTACAATGTACAGCACAGTTTGTAAACCGTACGTGAACAGTGTACATTTAAGTTTGTAAGTTGTACATTTTAATACCTGGAACTTGAGGGAGGATAGCTTCTTAAAATCTTCCCTGTACATAATCCCGCCATGTTGACGTCTGAAACGATACAAAAAAAAACTAACCTATTGTGTACGTGTACGTACATTACATAATTTACAAAATATTGCCGTTTCTGTGAAAAAGACTTTCTTTCTCATGAAAGTGAAAAGGGTACTGTTGTAAATTGGGCATGCAACTCTAAACTTGGAAGGTCATTTGTAAATTAAGGTACTCCGTAATTAAGCAGGTATTGAAATATTATATTTTCAGTAAAATATTATTAAAGACTAATGTTCACTAGAAGTGGAATGCAGGTTTATATGCACTCGACTGATTGTGATAAACTGGTCTAGTAGTATCCCCTTCCATTTGAAACTGTCCAAGTACCCCCTTCAGTCTTATACAAACAGGTTTTAAATCTTGGAAACCTCGTTTTCAACTAATTGTTATATTTTTTACAATAGGTCCCTTAGCAACAAATTCTCAGCTCGCATTTACACACAAAACTAACATCTGAAACACACAATAGACTTATCTAAATCTTAATTCAGTTCTCAGATATAAACAAACGAACATCTGAATTCGCAAACAATAGAATTATCTAATTCTTGAATCAGTTCTCAGATATACACAAACTAACATCTGAATTCGCAAACAATAGAATTATCTAATTCTTGAATCAGTTCTCAGATATACACAAACCAACATCTGAATTCGCAAACAATAGAATTATCTAATTCTTGAATCAGTTCTCAGATATACACAAACTAACATCTGGAGTTTAAAAACATAACACAACTGATTTACAATTTAAAAAATCAATTAAAACGTCTAAAATAGAATATTGTGGATTTCGAATTGTTACCCACATAAATTTTAAAACTTAATTATTTTACAATGATAAAGAAATATATATTTTTAAGCTATAACATCCCATTTTACGAAAGAAATTGAAAATAAATTTTAATCCTATTTTTATTTCAAATTAAATTATAAAATAATGATCAAAATATTAAATTCCAGAATTTTGAAAATAACCTTCATATTCTCAATCACATATCATTTTACGAATTATTAAGGGCAAAATTACATATTACACAAATTATCATCGCAAAAAATGCCAATTTAAGACAAAAATAAAATAAAACCCTTATCAATGCAAATAATGAAGAACAATTATGCTTTCAAAAAAATAAAACTTGATGCACTATATCAGTATCACTTAACTTATTAATTTTTTTTTAAAAAAGTTGATGTTTATAAGCGTTAATTCAAATTTTTTACTCCTTATCCTTTCTCTCCGTTTCTCTGACTACACACTGAGTGTGGGGGGCTCCAGAGTCCAGACAACGTAGAACTATATCACGAGTTCAAACTGTGATCCTCGTACGCAGATAATAGGGGGG